TAAGGACGATGTGTGGAAGTTAATGGAGTAGGTAATCAATAACTCGGTAAAGTTTTGAGCTGTTAGGAGTTATGATCGAGCGACAAGCAGATTTAGAGATGATATGTTGTTCCATTGAGATCAATTTAGATGTGTACCAATCTAAAAGGTATTCTCAACTGGTACAAAGTAATTCCTATGCAAGCCATGTCGAATTCAATCACTGTGATTATAACATTCGTTGTCATTTGTCATTGCCCGGGCATACTGTGGTCGAGTGAACTATTCAGCTACTACTTCTCGTTCAAGATCAACAAGGATTGTCCAACTCAAATTTTTGTTGATTACAAACTCTGATTATTGGAGTTGGAGAAAAAATAAAGGATCGGAGAAATCATTTCTAGTTGATTTTTGCTCTAGCAGTTGGGGAATTAGTGTCACCTTTCAAAACATCTTGACAAGTACAACCAAAACACTTTTGAAGCATCTGGTTCCTGATGGAGAGAAAATTTAAACACAACTATTTTTTATTCTTCAGTCGACCAAAAGGTCGTCAATCAGGTCATCTGACCTTATAAGTTTGGTCATATGACAGAGGACCAATGTAAGGCCTCAGATGTTAAAGAGGCTATTCATGTAAAAGGGCCAATGAGAGAGCCTCCAAGAAAAAACCAAGATGTAAGTTTTCTCATTCAAAAAGGAGGCAAATCCAAAGAAAATTTGGGAAGATTGCTTCCGCTGGTAAGAAATACCGCAGGTGTGGATTTTACATTTTCTACATATGGACTAATCATCGTGATACAAAATATGTCAACATGAGAAATCACTATTGTTGCACAAAAGCCTAAAAGTTTTCTACTAGATGTAGGTGAGACAATCCAAACATCATATGTGCCGAGATCGGACTCCTCTAAAGGCTAGACTTCTGAGAATGAAGCAGGAACATCAAACATTCCACCGTTGATTGGAACACAACCATGATCCTCATAATTGACTGATTCTCATCCTACTGATCCCTCTTATCTGAACCTGCCTATGAGGGTTGAAGCTAGCTACCACTCTCTTATTCATTTATTCGAGTCTTCATCCGGGAAGGGTACTAAGCTTGCTCTAGAATCAGAGCCTCTACCACCTATCGATAAAGAATCACATCTATCAGCTGTAGAGAGGAAATGAAAGGATTTAATGAAAGTTTGTAATGCTCCACCTCACCCTAATTTGAAAGGAAAGGTACGTTTTTGAGTGACATTCGACACATGACGGAGCCGAAGAAATATTTATCATGCCGACACCAATTTTTTATGATCGATTAAATGAAGTGTTGATTTCTTGATAATCCTAAGGTGTATAACATCTCATGTTACTTTCTGAAGTCATGTGATTAAACAAATTTAAAAAAGATTTGAAGATATTTGATCGTGAGGAGCTCCAACAGCATGACGTCTCATACCATTTGATGGCAATGGAAGTTGTCCACCTCCAATCTTTGGCTTTTATTGAATCTGAGCGATCATTAGCCAAAGTTGAGGATTATGTGACAACTTTAGAAAATTGGTTGAAGGAGGAGCAGCAGGGTAAAAAAATTTTTGAGGGTCAGCTCGGACTTTATCTTGAAGGGAGAAAAAATGATGAGATGGAATTCAAGAGAAGTTGGCCTCTCTAATGAAAGAAAATAAGGAAATAAAAGTAGCCTTAACAAAGTCAATTACTCAAGCAGGGCATCAAAATCATTCAAATTGACATACTTTGGGTTTACAAGCCCACGATCAATAAACTTATCAGTGGAAAATGACACACTCGTATGGAATTATCGAGAAATTATGTGTAGTCCACTCCAAGTCTGATCCAGTTTGCTGACTGCCTAACCACGAGCATTTGGATCAGCATTCTTCAAAATTGAATCCCCGATGGGAAAGCATTTTTTCTCAAACATGCTTGTTAAAATATTAGGCGGTGCACCTCTTGACTTCCTTTTGTAAAGGATTAAATTTACTTGTTTTCTTCTGTCAAATTGAGATCAAGTAAGGCTCATTCATCGTTGGCTTCTCGCCATTCAGCCAAATTTTCTTTGTCAAGTGCAGAGGCAATGGCAACTCTCTAACTGTGATGGTAGCATTCCATTGGTAGCACTACCTCCATTCCATGTGTTAACATAAATGGAGTTTGGCCGGTAACCGTTGAGGGTATTGTTCAGAAGGCCTAAAGGATAGATAGTAACAGGTTTGTCCAATTTCCTTTGGCTCCTTTAACTTTTTCCTTAATAGATTCGTAATGATTTTCTTGACTGCTTCTGCCTGCTTGTCTGTCTGTGGGTGATGAACTGAGACAAATTTTAGATCAGTCATTTGACTGAAGGAAAAATGTTTCACTCATAGGTCAGTGAATTGTGCCCCATTAAAGGTAATAATAATAAGCGGTAAACCATACTGACAGATGATGTCCAATAGAAATTTTTGTTGGTCTTTTGATAGCAGAAGTGGACCTAGAATATCCTATCCTCAGTCGGGGAATGGTTAGGAATTGATGACCAACTAAAGCTTAAGAGCGATGAGATGATGTAAAAGTGCATACTTCTGGCTTTGTTTACATTTCCTTGAATAACTTCTACATTCACTTCCAAGACCGTAGGTCAAAAAATATGTCATTAAATACAATATAATAGGGTCTTGCCTATTGAGTGATTTATGCACTCGCTAGAATGTACGTCTCGGAGGATGTATTTAGTTTCATCTTCTCTTATGCACCTCAGGTACATGGTAGTGACCGACAATCTGAAGAATTATCCTTCAAATATTAAATACTATTTGCATTAATGTTTGATATCATATCTGCAGTGTGTCCACTCTATTAGCTTAAGAAAATTCACCGCTCATTCATAGCATTTCGTAGCTCAAGACACACATCTGAGACCTCTGGTGCTTGTTCAGAGCACGAAAACAATGTTTGCAATAATTCGTCCTTACCCGAGAAAATCCGTTGTTGAGTGGGCCTACTCAGGATATTGAACATTTTCTTATGTGCATTCTGGTGTTTAGAAGCCCCTCTGTATCCATTCAGAGCCTCCCAAGTCGAGGGAAGTCACTGAGCCCTCCTACGCAAGCAATGGGAAAAGTAAGGTTTGGAATGCCTTACCCACGCCGTAGTTCAAAATGCCCATTTGCGACAGATTCTCTATCAATGAACGAGCAAGAAACTCATTTTTTAAGTAAGGGGATCATAATGTACTCAGATTTGGTCCCTCATAGCTTTCAGATCGAGAAGAACCTTCCTCAGACATTCTCAGTTGTTTTTTGGGGCTAGATCAGCGCGTGAGAGCGCCAGCCTCAGGCGCCTAGGCACCCTGAGCAACCCCCACAAGGTTTAAAATAGAGAGAAAACATCCCAAGTCCTTGCGCCTAGGTGCCAAGCCTAGCACCTAGATGCCAGTTTCGGGTGCCTAAGCCCCAAAAACAGCTTCAAAATAGCTCGAAATCGAGCCTTGGGAAACCCATTGCTAGGCCTTGGCACCTAAAGTCCAAGCCCTAACACAAGGGGCCCAGTGCCGCAGCGCCAAAGTCCAGACCCATCACCTAAGTTACAGGATCGCGACGACTAGGTACCAGACCAAATTCTGCCCCTGATTTTCTCTCGTGATTTTAATGATTTTGATCTTGACACCATGGTATAGAGATTTGTGTGTGTGTGTGTGTGTTTGATATTTATATAAAAATATAATAAATTGACAAAATATATATAAACACAAGTAATAAAAAAAAATTTACATACATAACACAATTCTTATGGATTTATTGTACATAAAAAAGTAACATGGATTCTGAGGAGATCCAATAGTCTAGTGAGAGGAAACATGCCAAAGATGGGTCCACCAATAAAACATCAAATGACACACTTATTCGATCACATGTAGTCATTCGAGCCAAGGCCAAAGGCTGACCAAGCCAGGAGAAGGACAAAATTAACAATCAAATGATTCTAGTATGCACCAATTAGATTATAACAAAACAGATAAGAATTTGAGCTAACCAATACAAAAAAGTCGAGCGAAAACATCGACCTACCTTTCAATAGATTTGAACTAAGGAAAGAATCACGTTCCTTGTTATTACCAATCGTTCCAAGGACGCCCTCGAGGCTCTTAATCAGGAACCAAGAATTGGAAATATAATAGAGTGTTTAAGATCATCGTGAAGGATCCCTTCATCGAGAAATGAGCTACGTATCGGGTTAAGATGGTTCGCTTTTTACATGATATTCTAGTTTCGTTCTACCGACAAAAGCCCCTCTTCCAGGGATCGAGAGTCGACAATCGTAATACATCAACAAATCGACAAAGCCTACCCGATCGAGTTAATCTTGCAGACCTGAAGTTAATCAAGCTCAACCGACTGATAACATCGACTCAGCCTAACCAATCGGATCAGTCTTACTGAACTGAAGTCATAGTAGTCCAGGCGATCGAGCCAGAGAGCATTCGGTCAACGAGCTCATCTACGTAAAACAAATGCAATATCATGTACGACCTCCATTAAAGCGTGTGCAGAAATGTAATATCATTATATTGTACTCTATTTCATATAAATATGAAGATATATCTGTGAATAAAGAATTTGACAAATTTTTTTATTCATTTTTATTCTCATCTCTCTCTCTCTCTGGCATTTCTTATATTTTATTTATTGAGTGTGTTACATCGGTAAATTAGGAATATTTGAATAAAAAAATATATTTAACTTTTAAAAAATTATTAAAATTAATATTTTGATGTGAAATTAGAAATTTAAGTGCTATGAATGCTAATATTAGTGTAAATATTAAATATTTAAATATGTGAGAATTGTGTCGTATGCATGCAAATGCTCGATAAGAAAATCGAAGCATATTTATTCCAATTTATATATGTGAAAATTGTGGCATTTCAACGTCTACATAGTGGGTGTTTGAATCCATTCAAGATTCCAAATAATAATAATAATAATAATAATAAAAGTTCTTAAAGAAATGAATAAATAAATACGTACATTTAGCACGAGCATTCCTGGCGCATCCTGTACCCGATTCCTCTCACTTGCGGTAGGCGGTAACCTATAAATCTTCCCGCGTCCGCATTATTCGTCCCTCCTCGACTTCTCTTCCCCTCTGCACCGATCCTCCAGAAAAAGAAGAATCAGTCTCCCCCACGACCAACGACGCCTCCTCTACTTCTCCCCCATTTCAATCCCTTATTTACCAACAACGCCCCCATATTCATGACAACTCCCTCCCCCGATATTAATTCTCCCTCTCGCAACCCCTTCTCCCTTTGCTCAAACCAAACCCACCAACCGAAACCCATCAAAACTTGATCTTTCCCCCACGATCGATCGATCGAAACCACCATGGGATCAAGCAAAGGCATCACCTTTTACCTCGCCGAACACCCTTCAATCGTCGGATTCCGTTGGTCGCCGGAGAAATCATGGGGATCCACTTGGTCCTTTCTCATCTGTTCCATCGCCCTCTACCACGCCGCCGCCATCCTCCTCCACCTCCTCCTCCACCTCTTCCGCCGCCGCCGTCCCGTTCCTCTGGGCCCCATCCCGGCTCTTCACTCCCTAGCCATGGTCCTAACATCCGCCACCATATTCCTCGGCATCCTTCTATCCTCCCTCGCGGAGATCCGCGATACGCGCTGGTTCTGGAGACGGATTCAGATATCCAACCCGCTTCACTGGTTCCTCTGTTTCCCCATCGGCACTCGCCCTTCCGGCCGCGTTTTCTTCTGGTCTTATGTTTTCTACCTCTCGCGCTTCTTGCATTTGATGCGTAGCTTCTTCTCAATCCTCCGAAGACGACCGAACGCGTTCTCGCGTCTATTTGCGCATTCCGCGCTTGTCTGTATGTCATTCCTTTGGCTTGAATTCTCACAGAGTTTTCAGGTTCTGGCGATCCTTTCTTCCACGCTCGCCCATGTGGTTGTTTTCGGCTACCGTTTCTGGGTCGGCGTTGGCTTGCCGGTGGCTGAAGGGGCAGGATTTGTGGTGGTTCTCGGCTGCCAGGTGGCGGTGCTCTGCTGCAATTTAATTTGCCATTTTGGGGTGATTCTGTTGCATTTTGGGAGAGGAGGGTGTAGTGGGATTGGGGCATGGATGTTCAATTCGTTTCTTAACGCGGGTTTGTTGGTTGTGTTCTTGAACTTTTATGTGCTGAAGAAGGGAATTGAGGAGGAGGATTTAGGCAACGGCCGGCAAGCAGAGGAGTCGATCATGGCGGCGCAGGAGACGACTGCGGCGGCGAAGGAGGAATAGTAAGGATGTTAAAGGGAACGGACATCATTGGATTGTGGAAACGTTGATTGGTTGAAAAAGAAAGTTTTTCTTTTTTTTAAATTTTTTTTTTCCTTATATTTGTTTTTACAAAGAGATATAGGGTAAATGCATATATTGTGAGTTTAATCTTCCTCTTGTTTTAGTCCTTGTGGAAATGATGAAGCGGAGTAAGGAGAAGGCCCCCATTTTGTATAGAACTGTATATATTTTGTGATGACTGAGTAAATGTTGTGTAAATTTTGTTGTGATATATCATGGAAAAGTAGCCTTTAAAAGTAGTGGGTATTGTTTAAGAAAAAAAAGAATTTTTTGTAATACTAAATGACTTAATGCATCTCATATATAATAACAACAAAAAATTAAAATGTTATTTTCTATATTAATTTTTTTTTTCAAAAAGAAAGACGTTTAAAATTATGCGGCATGAAGAGGAAGAAACATTACATGCAGATATGTACGAATTTGATGGTATTATGATGAATAACACCACATCACAATATCATCACAATACATAAGACTTATTCACAAATAATATTTTCTTCCGTACACAGAAAATAACAATTAACATTTTTAATATATTTTCAACTAATATTTTATACTTTGAATTACAAAAAATTTTTTGCCTGATATATGAATTGTAGGAGGCCTGGCAATCTGTGAACAGAATAATCATTGGGACTTGCAAAGGGCTCCCGTGGAAGCATCTGCCGAATCCCTGAAGCAAAAAAAACAAAGAAATAAATTACAACATGCCAAATGACTAAAAGCTAAATGTAGACTCGCTTTGTTTGTAGCAATAACCGAATTACTATGTATTTACAACATAACATCTCAATCTTAAAATACATTATTTTCCCAGCCCATTTTTTTCATTTTTTATGAAATTCTCAATGTTTGGGGTGGTCTGCATGTAGTTTTCCCTTCCAAAATTTTGATATTTGCGTGTGGCAACATGAAGCAAAGTATGTGCGTGCCTCTTTAGCAAGCATGGGGTAATTTACATGATATCCAGTTCGTAATGCTTACGGCACCTTTTAGACCGGAAAGCATGAGTGCCTTTCTCTATTATTTAATATTTAATATAAACATTATTTATGCTTTTTTTGTTTATTCTTATCCGAATTAGCCGATAGGACCCAAGCAATCCTCAGATCAAGACCTCCTCCGCTAAGCAAAGAACGAAAAGGTCAAGATTTTGAAAATAGTTGATTGGAGAAGATTGTTGTAAATGGGCCACTTTGGTTAAAAATATTAGGATTATTATAACTTTGTATTTTACTGTAATAAATTTTTTAGAATAGTAAAATATCTGAGAAGCTGCTTTTTCATGTTTAATAATAATCAAACCCGCTATTAAAAATTTGAGAATTTCAAAATATTTGAAAACTTCTTTTTTTATGCTTATTAATAATGAAATTGGCTCATTTTAAATCTAGCATGGCACCACATCCTAACCCCTCCTAGTGACTTAGTCTTGTACTCTGGGACTCACATAAGCCTTTTGTAAATTGGTTGTTGATTATCACATTGCCTCACTCGTACATATCATGCATACGCTCATATTCATCAACTCACAATTTATCACCTTACCTCTCTTGCATTACGTATTATAATCTGTTCAACAAATTTTAATCATTCGGCAAAAATCTCGGGGTAAGACACGAATTTCGAGATGATATTTTAAACAGAAAATATTCAAATCTTGATAAAAGTCATCCAGACCTCCGATTTTAACAAACTTATAGTCAAACTGACAAGCTAATGAGACAGGTCTAATGATATGAAAGTTAGCTCAATCTGAGTCAAATCAAGCTCAGATCAAGTCATTGAATCACACTTAGATGATTTTCGGACATATTTGGAAGATCAAATGGTTGTCGAATATGACAAGTTCATACTCGAATTGAGTGGCTCGACAAGACGAATCCCGCGAGCCCAAGATCACTCAATTCTGACATCATTAAAACACTCAAATGTCCAGTAAATGTCATATGATCGAGGGAAGCTCTCCGGATCTTCCGATGAAAATGATTCATATTCTTGCATTAATTGCACCCAAAACACTATAAATAGAGCACCATCCATCTCATGAGAGGGGGCTGCATGAGAGAAGTCTGGAGAGAGAGTCTGAGACCTTGAGGAGGAGCTGCAGTTCAGCATCATCGTCGATCGTTGTCCAACATCGCTGACCTCCGTCGTTGACCACCGCCGATCGCAGTCGACCATAGCCAACAGCCGAAGACCATCGCCGATTGTCGTCGACCTCCGCCAACCGTCATCGATTACCACCAATCAGATGCTATCAGTTAACGTTGTAATCTAAAAAATATAGTTATCATTTCCCGTTTGTGAGATAAGAGATTTTTGTAATCATCAATCAAGTGAGTTTTCGCAACTGGGCAAGACCCCGTGGTTTTTCTCTTACAGGTTTTTCATGTTAAAAGTTCTGGAGTCATCACCACTTGTTTCTTTTTCATTTGTGTGTGTGATGAACTATCGTACAACGCTAGTTCAGTTACTGTTACTTTCATCTGATAGTCTGTTACTCTACCGCCGCAAATTTTCTAGCACGCATCAAGAAATAAAGTTGTTAAAATATGGTGTATTTGGAATATTTTTAAGTTGTTTAATTTGATATAAAGTAAATGTTGTAATTTATAAATCTTTATTTGATTTTAAGATAAATAAAATTAATATAAAATAAGATCCACGATAACAAAATCGACGATTGGTGGTTGCGAGAATTGCGTCCACTAATACAAGAGGTCAATAATAGTGGTGAGCGGCTAATAATTGGCGGTGATAGTGACAACAGACTGTAATTTACATTACATTTAGATATCATCCAAATCTAATGAATTTGATGAATTTTAAATTCACAAACAATTTGCACAAATTTCATTTTTATCCAACCAAATGTAAGAATTTTAAAATCCATTGTATTTGATTTATTTTACACCATAAATATAGAGAACCAAACACTTCCAAGAAAAAAAAAAAAAAAAAAACTTCAATGATATTTATATAAGCTTTTATTTTATACATAATTATCTAACATTCTTTTCAAATCTAAGGGGATTAAGACCCACTTTTAGGAGAAAACATTAGATATGTGCAACACACATATAGATAACAAATAACAGATGAGCACCCCGGCATGCACACTCTCTCTCCCGACACTCTCCCATCTGTCATGCGCTCTCCATAGGCTTTTTTCTCCATGACCCTTCATTTAATTCCAATCCAATAAAACAATTTCATATATTTCTTTATATTTATATTTCTAAGATATAATTCAAGATGTCCAACCAAATATCTCCAATATATCTCAAAATCACATGCGTTCGTTGCCTTTTCATCCCAACTGATTTTACACGTTTTGTCTTATACGGACCACCACGCACTGAATGAACGATCGGCGTTGAAGAAAGGGTCCAAGTCACCTACCCAGCAACAAATAGGTTGCCGGCCTTTATCGATGGGAAGGTGAGCGGGCCTATGAAGCAATGGAAGCTCAGATTATTGAGAAATCTGCAAAAACAGCTTTGAATTTAGTACTTGCGCCGCTTAGAGTAAATCCATATTAATGATTATTATTAAATGCCACCATGCATTCACCAAAATAATTATTTTTAATTGTCGAATTCGAGATTATATGTGAATTACACCTAAAAGATAGAGCTTAAATGAAGAGAGACGGAGAAAAACCATAGTAAATTGTGTTCTTTCTTAATTAAATGCTTTCCTTATTTATGCAGAATGTGGTAGAGTAGTGTTAGATATGACTCATATATCATAAAGAGACAGATGCTCGAGCGGAGCGGAGCAAAGCCAAAAATTCTGTCCAAATAAGGGGAGTTTCCTTATGTGGGTTTAGGATGTGGTACAGGGGTAATTTGGTAATTACATATTGTACCGCTCTTTCTAAGGTTATAAATAGACATGTATGTAACCCTAGGTATTATGCTAATTTTGTATTATGTAATCTTTTTCTGGATTAATGGAAAAAATTGAAAAGGAGGTCGCCGCTCAGCTCTCGAGGACGTAGGCATCTTTGTCGAACCTCGTTAAATCTGTGTGTTCTTCTGGGTTTGTGTCGATTCGTGTTTTTCTTCGCCCTAATTTCTCAACAAATGGTATCAGAGCCAAGTTTTAGGGCAGAGAAGAAAAATTATCGATTTCGGCGCCAGAGGAAGAAGAAGCAGGCTTCGACGGTTTGGCATCGCAAAGGGCTTCGATACTTGGGTTCGCAGGTGATCGGACGGGCTTCGACGACCACTTCGTCCGCGACAGGCAGAGTTCGACGCTTGGCGTTCGGAGTTCGCGATAGGCAGACAGGTTCATGGGTTCGTTGCGTTCGTGTGCGACCATGCGAGAGCGTGAATTCCACGGCGCGACGCAGATTTGGACCCAGACGCGAGCAGCAGTTCACAAATTCGGGAGAAGAGTTCGCGATCGCATAGTTCCCGAGGGAGGCGGGAGAAAGAGTTCACGAACAATGGTTCGAGCAGCGGGCAGTCCAGCGGCGCTGTTGGAATCAGGAAGTTTGCTGTAGGCGAACGCGAAAAAAGGAAGGAAATTTGCCAAGCTTCGATTTCCTTTGCTAGAAGAGAAATTTTCTCCTGGCCCGAATGAAAGAATTTAAAAAAAATTCAGCGCGGAAGATATTAGGAGATATTCTGAATTTACGGGAGGTTCCTAATCCCCAAATTTCCGGAGGTGGAAGATATCGAGAGGAGATTTGTTTCCTTGCTAGTTCATGCAGCCGGTATATTGGTTTTCTGAAGCGGAAAAATTGTGGCGATTTCCTTTTACCGTCGCGAATGCTGAAGAAATGAAAGTTTTTAAAATTAATTAATTAAAGAAAATATTTTAATTAAGGGGACTTAATTAAAAAACTTTAATTAAGGAAATATTTCAATCTTTTTTTAAAAAAAAAAGACTTTTTGTTTTTTTGAAAAACTTAATTAAGGGAATTTTTTCGATCCTTTTTTTTTTAGAAAGATTCTCAGCAAGGAATTTGCAGAAGAATTTGTTGCAGGATCAATTTCAAATGACAATATCTTGTGTCAAATTCGAGGTGATGAAGTTCGATGGAGCTGGTAACTTCGGATTGTGGAAAACAAGAGTAAAAGATCTGTTGGCTCAACAGAGAATCTTGAAAGCTTTGCGGGAAGCAAAACCAAATATCATGGAGGATGAAAATTGGGAAAAATTGCAACAACGAGTAAGAATTGCAACAACGAGCGACAACA